AAAATAATTAGCCCAATAATTTGTATACTTGCAAAATATGTTCATATAAGTCAATATTTGTATCCAAATCTACTTATTTACCTGTATCTTTTCGTACATATGTCAATTTTTATGTACATTTTTTTCTATATATATGTTATCTCAGATTTCTATATCTATCCATCTATCTAAAATATCATCTATCTATCTAATTATCTATACGCACATTTTCAACTATATATTCTTCCACATATATAACTCAGATTTCTATCTCTATCTCTATAGCCCCGGGCTTATAATCTTTCTCAGCCCGTGAATGGCTTTTTCTTCGTGTTTATTTGTCGCTTTATTTGTTTTTCAGAGGATAGTTTTAATCCGATTTGGCATTTCCACATGCAAATGAGGCAATTTAATGCCTACAAACAGCAGATTTCAAGCTTTTCGCGGACATTGGGCAATCGCTTTGGGCCATTCACAAAGTTGTTTGGACTTGGCTTCGATTTCAGAGCATTTCAATCGGTTTCACCGCCTCGCGTCACGGCCTGTTGGCAAAAATTAGGTGCGCAACAAAAACATTTGAACATTGCGAGACGGTGCGTAGCCAGCCTATGCACCTGTACGGGAGCGTAGCATGCGGTGCCAAAGGTGCCGACAGGCGGGCGGATTAACAGGACGGGGGAGGGGGGAGGGGGGAGGGGGGAGGGGGGGCTTGCCAGACAAGCGCGTTGTAAAGCGCAAATCATAAATTAAATATATGTATATAAGTGCACAAAAATAATAAATATATTATATAAAAATGCAATACTATCGTCGACGTGCATCGTCTGGCCGTTGTCTGCTTGCCGCAAAGCTGCCCCTCTCCCCACCCCACCCCACCCCACCCCACCACACTCGGCCCGACACACTCCTAGCTCCGACTCCGACTCCGATTCACAGAGTTCAACCACTTGACAACTATCCAACTGTGCAACTGCGATTCCAGCTACAACTGCAGCTGACCCACCATCTATCAATGCGTTTAAATGTGTTCGACGCCAGTTTTTCCTAAAATGTGTGTTTCCTGACCGCCTGTCATCATGTTTTACAATTAATTATGTGTGTGTTGTTGTGCGCTGCGTTGCGCAGAGAGAAGCAAAAAAAAAACAAAACGAAGTAAATTAAAGCAAAACTTTTGCAATAATTGAGATTAAATTAATTAACGAAACGCACACGAAAAATGCGCAGCATGTTCTAAAATAACAAGTCTATTAAAGTAGGCTAAAGAAATACCTATGTACATATATAACTAAATAAATACATTTATATATGATTCAATTACTATATATATATAAATGTATTTAGTAGCTCTTCCCAATTAGGTGGATTACAGCAACTGCAGAGGCATTCCTGAAGAATTCCTCTTTGAAAGAAGTTACGTGCCGTGAATTTGAGTAGTTCAAGTGAAGCATTTGGTTCAATTTGGCAATACCACAATATAAGTTCATTTACAGAAGCTTATCCAATGTAGTACAGCCACACAATTAGCTAATTCGCTTTATTGTACGTGTTCAAGCTGAACTGAAAGTCCAAGTGGATCAATTGCATCAAAGTAGCTCAACATGACGATTATGACGCATTTAAATGAACTAGATATATAAATTCTTTAAGCTTTAAGCCGACAATCGGAATATGGTTCAGTACATTCATACTCATACATTCACACTATTTGCAGCTAATCAGTCGAATGATCAGTGAATGAATGAAGTAGTTCAATTGAAGCGAAGGAGTTCAATATGACGATAACACAACAATGAACTAGATATATAAATACTTCTCTTCGATAAGCGGACAGTTTTCACAGCATACAGACAGCATATAAAGCAGTGAACTAGTTCATTTGAATCATTTGACAATCACAAGAACACACAGCTAATTAATTGGGTTCAACAAGTGAATGACAAATGGATTTTGGCTAGTCTAGATCAAGAGCATGATCAGTAAATAAATAAATCTGCATGGCTATCAATATTGCGCTCAGTGTAGAGCTGGGCGAATCGATCATAGATCGATAACAATCGAAAACGCAAACAATCTATGTTCCGGGCGAATGGCAAACAGCTCCAATATGCAGAATGAGGCGAATCCAATAATCCAATAACAACATTCGAATGGAATGTCAACAACATATTTGCAATTAAAAATATTTGCAAGTATTGAGGTTAAATCTCAACTGATACCAATTGGGTAGCATAAAATATGTTTGCAAACATATTTGCCGATATGCAGCCAGCGAATTCTTAGCCTCCATTCCAATCTTACATAAGTAAAAGCCAAAAATTAGCTAGTTGTTTATGTGGCAATTTGCATAAGACATCGCACCACATTTGTTGCCGTTGCGGCGGCTTAGCTGGCCCAAAACAGCCAGCCAGCCAGGCAGTCGGACAGCCAGGCAGCCAGGCAGCCAGGCAGCCAGACGGTCGTCTAATGAGCCACACGCATCTCGGACCATGCACCACGCACCACGCACCACGCACCACGCACCACGCACCACGCACCACGCACCAAGCACCACGCACCACGCAACGCGGTAGCTGCTGCAGCTTAATGCCACTTGCTGCGGCTGTTGTGGCTGCCGCTTGCGGCATGCCACGCAAATGTGAATTGCGTATCGCCTTGCGGCTATCGTGAACATGTCGGATTGCTCTAATCGGGCGTGCCAGACCCATGAATACCCTACAGATAAAAAGCTGCAGCTTAAATGATAAATAAGCGTCAGATGCTTTTAAGGTTAATGTATTGCGACTATAAATACATTTTTTATCATAAGCAAATGTCAAATATTTTTGGCACAAGCTTTTAAAATATCTGGTACTCGTTTGGGAAATAAATATTGCTCTAAACTTGTTTCAGAATTATCAAATATTATGCAAATGTGAAATGATATTGAAAATAAACAAGATATAGTATATATATATACATATATGTATATAAATCTCAAATCTCGGATCGTTGTCCTAATCAAGAACATTTCAATATACTTGAAGCGTTCTTCTGTCTGTTGCACAAGCCTGTCATGCCCTGCCGTCAAGCCGCCTGCATTGGGCACAGGGTATGTGTATGGCTGGCGAGCGGGCCATTGCATTTAAGCAGCTGCAAAAAATGCACTTTAAGTCAGATTGGTTCGTGTTAATGCAGATCGCAACGCCTTTCAACTGACAGCTCCAGAGATTCCGGTTTCTTTGCGGCTGGGCTTCTATCGAATGGTTCCGTTTCGCTGCCAGAGGACCACATGCAGAGGAAAAGCTGTCACAATTGATACAAATCGCATTTAACGCAATCAATATTTAATTTTTGCATGTTAGATATATATCTCTATATATCTGTAGATTGTCCTCTCATAAGTCACACAAATCGCTGAGTAATGCCCGAGACACGGGCGTTAGCAACAGCCACGGTTAACTGACGCACCTCTGCCATAGAAAGACCTGCCCTACAAATTTGTACAAATTTGCCCACAAAGCAATTATTATTATTTTTGGTTATAGCAACAACGAGCAATTGAACTGAATAAGTCGCGTGCAAAACAAGGCATTCTAAATACTCTACAAAAGAGCTGAGAAATAATTTTTATGTTGGAAATAATTCCAATTGTGAGACTCAAATACAAACTATTTCTAAATGAGACAAGTTTTTTGAAAGTATTTTATTCCGTTTACAGTTTTTGCTTTAAAATGGCTTAAGTTCAATTCACAAGCGTTTGACGAACATATTCCAAGCAAGTTTTTAAAGATTCTCAAAAGAAAGATAGATAAATTATGTAAGATAAATAAACATACTAAAAACCGAGCAGAGAATTTGTCTACCCGACAATTTTCTTGCATTCAAAAACTAAATTTTATAATATTAATAATATGATAAATAGGCCCAATGCTTTTCGATTTAAAAATAAATAAAGCGTAAATGTTATAAAAACTTAATTTTCGGCAGACTTTTCCTATATGAGATATTTGATATAATAGTCTAAGGTCTTGGGAAACAAATTAGCTTCTTATTTCAAAACTTTGTTCGGTATCTAGATCGTATATAAAGTATATATGTAACATGTACTAGATCTGTCTAGTACACATATATATAGATATATATATATATATATATATACATATGGAATGGGCTCTAAATACTTATAGGCAAATAAAGTTTATAAAATGTTTCGATGTCTATTAATGTATTGCCTTTTATACATATAGATAGAACTCTATATCAGTTCCACTTGACTGCAAGAGGCAGAAGCTATGAAGCTTTTAATAGAGTAAGGGTATGGCCACGGTTAGAGTATATCAAACGCACACCTTAGGCGGAAACTCTGCGCATTTGACCCTCGGCTATGAATCATCGTCTTAGCCCCAACCCCACAAAAAGAGAGAAAAGCGAACCAAAAATCGCGTTTAACGTTTTTTTTTTTGAGGCCAATTAAAAACGCAGCGAAAGGCGTCGACGAAGGCGACGGGTCTGCTGGTCAGTTGGGTCACGGGTGCGTTTTTGCTGAGCCGCTTTGATTAAAAGCAAATTCATTAAACGGAACTACAGCTGTCAGCAGCAGCAGCAGGGGTGCTGGGGAGGGCTGAGGAGCTGTGTGTGTGTGTGTGTGTGTGTGTGTGTGTGTGGGGAGGTTCAGCATGCGGTCTAAACATGCGTGAAAATCAATCATGGAAGCAAAGACAATGGCACAGCGAGAGCCGCAGCCGAACGCACCGATTGCTGCCGAAGAGGAAGCCACGCGTTTGCGCCTTCGGCAACTGTTGCTGCCGCAGCGGCAACTGTTGCTGCTGCTGCTGCTGCTGCTGCTGTTGCTGCAAAAATAAGTTTATATAAAACGTGAGCGCGAAATTATGGCCAACAGTCGCAAACGCGCCAGCCGCTCGAGCTGATACTTAAGCCAAATAAATAAATAATTAGTAAAACAAAATCATTTAAAAATATATATATATATATATATATATATATATATATATACAGGAGGGTCCTCGACAGCCACGCCCACTAAACGCCTAAAAGGACATTAGAGCCATTTTCTATATATTTTTGTTATTGTTCTTCTTCTCTGTGCTTTGCCAAGTGTTGTCAAGTGTTCCTCACAACTCGTCAACAGTTTTTTTTGAACGATTGCGCATACGCCATGTTAGCCCTCCCATTGCTGATGCTGATGCTGCTGCTGCCGCTGCTGCTGCTGCTGGCTGGCTCCACAGAGGCCGCCTACAAGCTGCAGGAGCGCTACAGCTGGAACCAACTGGACTTTGCGTTTCCCAACGAGCGACTCAAGGAGCAGGCGATCGCCAGCGGCGATTACATACCGCAGAACGGCCTGCCCGTCGGCGTCGAGCACTTTGGCAATCGACTCTTTGTCACAGTTCCGCGCTGGCGCGACGGTGAGTACATCAAATCCCCAGACCCCCCCCAAATTGGCCAAATTGGGTTCTACTCGTCTCGTTTGGGCATCATTTGTGCGACATTTGCCAAAGGCAACAGGCAAATCGCTTTGCTGTTATTGCTTATGTTTGGCACTTGTTTTCGTTGCCAATTAACATGCTCGATTGGACTACAAATTGACGTGATTCGAGTGATTCGAGTGGTACGAGTGATTGAGTGATTGATTCATTGACTGATTGACTTGTGGTGTGCGCATTGCAAGCTCTGTCGTTAAGGCAACTTGTTCAGTTAATTGACAACTGCGTCTGCATCTTGATTACTATGGTAATATAATTGCCACTCGCGAGATGCATTTATGCAATGCAAACACAAATTCCACATTGCATGCTCAAGATTTTTACAGTCAATTTGTTTCGTTATAGATATGTATATTGCCCAATAAGTTCGGCGAGTTAAGCCCAAACATTTTCTAATATTTTTTATTTTTACTTATTCATTTTTGCCACCAAATAATCTTAGACAAATTCCAGCAATTTATCAACATTTTCTCCATTTTTATTATTGCTGAAAACGAAAACTTTGTTTAGCTCTTTTTTTTATTAAAAATAGAACTGCTTTTACAGAGTATCTTCCTTTCGGCTGGAGTATCTGTATTCATTTATTTATTTATTTAGCTTGAAAATGATTTTCTATTGATATATTGCGAGGGAAATGTAATCTTAGCTTCTGCAAGTTTTACAATTAATCACATTGAAGTTTTAGCTTAGAAAAAGCTGAAGTTCAAAAATCTTCCTATTTTTGTTTTGATTATGCTGCATTTTTATATTTTATTTGTTATTTTCTGTTGAAATTTGTTTCATTTTTTTAACTTTTTATATATTTTCAACTTATTCTTAACACAACACAACTAATTTCTTAACACCAAAAGAGTTTTTTGCCCGAATCAAAATAAAATCTCCGACTCTTGCCAGCTGAAATTCGGTTTGGTTTTCAATGCCAATTAAAACTATTTACCAGAAAACCGTCTATCTTGATAAATGTAACACAATATGACATGTTATATTTTATAAATTGAAAATAATAATCAAAAATTCATTGGCTTACTCCAGAAGTTCAGGTCGAAGTCTTTGTAGCAGCAATTTATTTTACACACAAAAGTTTTTTTAAAGTCAAAGCTCAGCTTTGTTGAAGTAGACTCGCATTTCGGTGCAACTTAACGATTTATTTATTAATTAATAAGTATTAACAATAATAGCTAACGGCAACTGTTTGAATAGAAGAAATATATGCGGCTCGCTCAACACACATAAAGCCAATTGAATATCATAAACTATATGTTAATATGTCTATAAATAATAGCAAAGCAATTGCGAAGGCTTCTTCACAGCCTTGACTATGCTTTACCGTTGCAAATTAAAGGAAAAACAAACAAATAAATGAACAATAACAAAATAAATAAATGGCAATAATCAGCAATTAGCTGCGATTCGATTCGATTCAAAGTGAGAGCTGCATTTGAGTGCAACAAGTTTGAATACTTGAATAGTTGCTTGTATTGTTTTTTGGCTCGTGTTCTGCACGATATGAGGCCAAGGGATTGGCTAGCTAAAAAAACGAAAAACTTGAAAAAATTTAGAAATTATTAACTAAGCAGTAGCTCAATAAGTGAAGCACATTTTTCATAGCAATTGAATGCTTACAATGCGAGAATATATAGGCAGAGTCCAAGGAAATCCAATTGGAATCGCATCCAATTGGAGCTGCCGCTCTTTTCTCTGCTGGATAGATATAACTAGTTATTGTATAGATATTGTTTAGATATAGTATATATAGATATAGGCTTTCGAGTGTCTTTCAGTTTACAAGTCTTGTTTGAAACGCTTCAAGAGCAAACTTTGGAAATATATTGAATTAAATATACAGCTACTATATTGCTTATAAAATATTATTAATTTCATATTTATAACTATTCCTATCTTTCTTTTAAACAGTCAGGCAATTAATAAAGGAGCAGCACACTTCGAATCTTAGGCTAGTTTTAAGATGTTGTTAGACTTTAACTTGAGAGCTTACAGTACACAAATAATAAAAATACGGCTTAAATGAATATCTGAGTATATATATTGAGATTGTGAGTCGAGTTCAAATCAAAGTTAACTTCTTCGCACAAACGTATCCAAGAGTATCTTCTGGTTTAACCAGCTCAGCTAGGCTTAGCCACACGTTCATCGTGATCGTCAACACAAACATAGAGTGCGAAACTTGACAGCTTTGACAACTCTGTTTGGTATTTAATGAGAGCTACTTACAAAAACCCATCTTAGGCCTAATCCCTAAAAGCTACTTGTAACGAGAAACTTGACAGCTTGGACAGCTCTGTTTGGCATTTAATGAGAGCTACTTAAAATATCTGATCTTAGGCCTAATCCCCAAGTATCTTTCTAGTATTTACAATCCGAGCACAGCCTTGGGCCGTACATTACATTTATCTCAAGAAACGGCATCAAATATAAATTGGAATGCCAATGTCTTCAACGCCCAGAGAAGGTCGTCCAAATCAAAAGCCAAGAGCCAAGAGTCAAGTCGGCGCACGCTTCAATGAGCGAAAGTTGAGCCGCAAAATGCGGATCAATAGCAAATCAATTAGCTAATCTTAAGTAAATCTCATAGCTTACGACAACAACAAGAAAAGGCACCTGCAATCAGTTGACATTTATGAGTTATTACAAGGTAGCTAAGTGGCTGCTCAAGTGTTCAGGCCAACTCAAAGACAACAGAAAACAAAAAAAGTCATTGAAAGGGCCACAGCAATAAAAACAAATCAATCAATTTCAGCCCCTTCGAAAAGTGTTGGTAAACAAAGCATGAATCACAATATAATTGTTTGTGGACAGTTAAAAATTTGCCGAAAGAATTGCCGGTTCCCATATTAGTCAAGATAGAAATCGATGCCGGACGCGATACAAGCAAAACGGACTGTGAACAGAGCTGCCTGCGGCAAGTGTTGGTAAACAAAAGTCTTGCAAACAATACTGCTTTTGTTAGGTAGTTTAAATAAACTTAATAGAAATATTTGTAGCTCGACGCACACACTACTAAAGTTTTCCAACAATGCTGGCAATTAAATCGTAGTATAAATGAGTCTAAAAATAACCTTATAAATAAAAAAGTGTTGGACAGCGCAACTTTGTTGCAAAACTTAACTTTTTTGTCAGTCTCTTTTAGTTTCTAGAACTTCTTTGCATTTAAAAATCATACTGAAACCAAAAAAGGTTTAGAAAACGGTCTGTTAATTAAGCACACTTAAGTAAGTGTTGAAAAACGAAATATTGTAAGCCATATTTATATACATAGTAGGACAGTTATTACAACTATAATAGTTATTACGACTAGTTCTTTGTAAAATTGCCAGCCTCACATTCTCAAACGAATTAAGAAATTGGTTCTACAATATTCCTTGTCAGTATTTAAAAAAAAGTGTTGGAAAATGCAGCAAAAAATTTAGCAAATCTATGTTGTTAAGTGTTGGCTTCACTTAAATTAAAACTGACAATGCTACAATAAGTTATCTACAAATTTGTATTAAATCAACATTAATTGAATAGTGTTGAATAACGAAAGGGTAGATTGAGTTGTTTTGCACAACGAATATATCCATTTAATCGAATATATACATTAATGTCTTGACGATTAAAATTGAGGAAACAGTTGCGAAATCGAGTCAGCAGAATTGCCTAATCTACTGAGCAGCACTGGTGTAAGTGTTAGAAAACGATAATTTGGCAAAATGAGTATTGTCAATTGTAGAATTTCGGTTCCCACATGAACTCCCATCAAATATGAGACAAAACAGAAGCAAATGCCTTGCCCATATTGCCAACTCCTTTTCGCTAGTGTTGGGAAACCAAATTTAAAAAATGCAATTCTGAGAATAAAATGTTGATTACAATTGCTAATTGCAGTTCCCACATAATTTAAGACCGGTAAACCAAGCTCGACCCCAAGCTCGATTTCGATTCCAGTTCCGAAACTGAAATCGTCTGGTATGTCGCTTGGCAATTGCAATGCGTCCGACCCATTGAATTACAAATTGAGACCAACAACATGTGAATGGCTCATTGAGCCTACATTAGCTTGATGCGGCCACATGAATGATAACTCATTGGATACGACACACACATACACACGCACACGCACACACACACACACACACATACACGCACAGAGGCAGCTGGCTAATGGCTAATGGGAAATTCATTGGCTCTAACAATTTGCAAACGCGCTAAGCGACTAAAATTAATATTATTAAAGTGCGATCATTGCGCTACTGTTATTAAGGCTTGGGAACAGGTCCCAAACACAAATATAACCAGACTGGCCAGGCATACGTATGAACGATTAGACAGAGACACCGACAGGCAGCTGACATCAAATGCATGCACAGCTAACACAAAATAAAGTTGTTTACTTTGCCAAGCCAAGACACAGCAGCGGTGCAGCCATTTATCATCACAATATGTGTATGCGAAATTTTAATATGCTGTCGAGTTGACATTCCATTTGAAACCGAGCCGGGAATGCGAAAAATTTGTATACTAATGGCCAAAACGGTTGCTCAAGTCCAAAATGAACTAGACAACAAGCTCTGACCGGTTGATAACTCCTACGATAGGCCTACAATGTACTGAATTCTAGCCAAAGCCCAAGCTGGAATGTTGCAATGTTGACCATGCTTAAGCATATGCTTCAATATGTTACCTCGAGCTAAGGCTTGCTGTTAGTTATCGATAAATTAAAGTAAACCTGATTCATGTTATTTTATATCTATCAAAAAATGTGTGCGGTAAAACAATATTTATTGATTTAGCATAAGCAAAGGATACTTAAAGCTTACACTTGTTGTTATTGCCCATACCCAGACTCTTAGGAGGAGTACGAAAAGTGAGGCTAAATATTATCGTTAAGATACGAAAGTAAGCTTAATTTACATTATATTTATCGACTTCAAGCAAAAGGAAAGATCTCGATAAAGATAAACAAGCTCTGTGTGTCTAGCTCAAAATGTCAGTGCTGTAAAACGATATTCATCGATTTTGCTTAAGCATATGCTATAAGATAGTTAAAGCTAAGGCTTTCATATTCAAATATTTCAAATCGTCAGTAAAAAGTTAAAAATCCAAGCGAATTCATAAAGTTGCTGGAATTAAGTGAGGAAGAGTACAAAAATTGATAGTAATCGATTTCAGGCAAACAGGAGAAGCTGTCGATAAATTTGAATAAGCCCAAATTAAGCTATGTTATATTTATCAAATTCAGGGAAACGGAAAAAGTTATCGATAGAGTCAACCGATATGCCAAACTGCTGAAGTAAACGATATTTATCGATGTTGAATAAATTAAGCGAAAAGAGAGCATAAACAAACTTGTTATATCTATGGGAAATCTGAAATTCCAATGCCGCCTGTTGCATACATTAGCATACAGCTGCAATACGCCCCTTTATTTTGTCGACTTTTAATATTAACAGGGTATTAGAAACCAGATTCGAGCATCGAGAGGTGTGAATTGCTTTTACAAACGACGACAAATGGCTTAACAAAATGCGGGTCTACAACTTAATGTACATTCTGGCGTTATGCGACACGGGAGGGTATTGAGAATTTCGGTTAGTCGCCAGCAAAAGTTGCAAAAGCTGCAGAGCAACTCCTGATGGAGGCAAACCCTAACCAGAGCTAGTTAACTTGAATGGGGAAAAATGCAATGCCTGAACTCTAATTGGAGTGATTAAAAAAGAGTTAACAAACGGCAACTTGTTGTTAAACAAAAACATTGTTAGCTGCAACTCGTTGTTGTGGCAATGCGGGCGGGCACGTGGCGGGCGGTGCAAGGGGGCAGAGGCAGGGGCAGTGGCAGGGGGGGGGGGGCGGGCAGGAGGTCGATGCCACTTACAGAATTGGCCAAGACAAGTGGAGGCGATGTCGCACGCCCGCAACCAACAGCAACTGGTTATATGGCCACGTCATCCGGCGTCTTGTCAACTGGAGCGGAAACGCTGACGACGACAATGATGATCATAATGATAAAGACAATAATGATGATAATGATGATGATGGCGATGATGATGTATACATGATGCAGTTGCTCAAAATGTGGCTAATGGCATCGAAAATTGCTAACACTCAATTTGCGTAGGGGCCAGGAAAAGCTTGCAACAGTTGTTTTTGCTCAAAAGCTAATCGTTCGCTCATATCAATCATCTTATGTCTGACTGACTGGCTGACTGACTGATTGATGGATCAACGCACAGCTGGATTGTTGCATTTTGCACAGTGATTACATTTTGTGATGCAACTGAACATTAGGCATATTCAAATTGATTGCCGACTTTTGTAAACAACTTTTGAATTTTTCATTCAAATTGCTTAAAGCTTATTTTTGAAAATATTTTTGCTAACAATTCCCTGGGTGGAATACAGATATTAAGGCTTGAAGATCTTTCACCTTACGTTGTATTCAATCAGAGAATCAGATCAATCAGATCTGTTTATAACGACTCATGTGGGATGAGTTTCACACCTCTCGGAAAATCCACTTGCTTGCGTGGAAATGAGGCTCTAAGATTCCCAATTTTAATGAACAAATGTTTAACGCCTCAGCTTTACGTCGAGAATAAACAAATATGAGTTTATGCGATTTAAAAATCGCCCCCAATTACGGAAAATGAGCGGAATACTTTGCCCGGGCAAAGTTGGGTAATATTTGCTGGCGTCTAATTGTTTTTGCAACTTGTTTTTCTTTTGCAGGCATTCCGGCCACGTTGACCTACATCAATATGGATCACAGTTTGTCGGGCTCACCGGAGCTGATACCGTATCCGGATTGGCGCAGCAATACGGCCGGAGATTGCGCCAACAGCATTACGACAGCCTATCGCATCAAGGTGGACGAGTGCGGACGTCTCTGGGTGCTGGACACGGGCACTGTGGGCATTGGCAACACCACCACCAATCCCTGCCCGTATGCCGTGAATGTCTTTGATCTGGCCACAAACACTAGAATCCGGCGCTACGAGCTGCGCGCCGAGGACACAAATCCGAATACGTTTGTAGCGAATATTGCCGTGGACATTGGCAAGAGCTGCGATGATGCTGTTGCCTATTTCTCGGACGAGCTGGGCTATGGCCTGATTGTCTATTCGTGGGAGCTGAACAAATCCTGGCGCTTCTCGGCCCACTCGTATTTCTTTCCCGACCCGCTGCGCGGCGACTACAACATTGCCGGCCTGAACTTCCAGTGGGGCGAGGAGGGCATCTTTGGCATGGCACTGTCGCCCATACGCTCCGACGGCTATCGCACCCTCTACTTCAGCCCCCTGGCCAGCCATCGCCAGTTTGCGGTCTCCACGCGGATATTGCGCGACGAGTCGCGCACCGAGGACAGCTATCATGATTTTATCGCCCTGGATGAGCGCGGTCCGAATGCCCATACCACGGCCCGTGTGATGAGCGACGATGGCATCGAGCTGTTCAATCTGATCGATCAGAATGCCGTCGGCTGCTGGCACTCGTCGATGCCCTACACGCCGCAATTCCATGGCATTGTCGATCGCGACGATGTGGGTCTCGTCTTTCCGGCCGATGTCAAGATCGATGAGAACAAGAACGTTTGGGTGCTGTCCGATCGCATGCCCGTCTTTTTGCTCTCCGATCTCGACTACAGCGATGTCAATTTCCGCATCTATACCGCGCCGCTCGGCGCTCTCATCGACAACACCGTCTGCGACTTGAGGAACAATGTGTATGGTCCCTCGAATTCGGTCAATTCGCCCAAGCAGCAGCCTCAGCCGCAGCCCGCTGGACCGCCAGCTATCTATAAGCCATATCGTCCGGCTGCGGTGCTGCCGCAGAAACCGCAGCTATCGACCAGCTGGGCGCCATCGCCGCCCACTCGCACCTATTTGCCGGCCTCCGCTGGCGGTGCAGTCAATCTCGCACCTGGCCGGAGCATCTCCAGCGTCAGCGTGTCGACTGGTGTGGATGTGCCCAAGGCATATGTCTTCAATCAGCACAACGGACTCAACTATGAGACGAGCGGACCGCATCTCTTCCCCACGCATCAGTCGGCCACGCAGGGACGGGAGGCGCTCAAGAGCTATGTGAATGCCCGCCAAGCCGGCTGGTGGCATCATCATCATTAGGTCAGAGGCGACTCAGCGACTTCCTCTTCCTCGTCCTCGTCCTCGTCCTCGTCGACAAACGCCTTCACTTTTTTTTCGCACCTTTCACTTTTAAGCAATCGATTTCCTTGTTTTTTTTTTTTAATTTTTAATTTTAATATTTGCAAAATATTTTACATGAATTCTTGTCTGCTGTCGCTGTCAGCCTGTTGTCTTCTTCTTCTTTGACAACAATTTTAGCATTGTAAGAAATATGAATAAATTTTTTTTTATAAATTCGTGAAAATAAATTATTGCGGAAGTTTCGCATCTTTTTTTTGGGCCTTTTTAGCTTTAGCAGAAAAGAGCTGAAAATGTCAGCGACATCTGGGAAATTCGTACATACAGTTGCTAGTCGCTAGTAAAGACAAAGTACAGTGTAACTTCTCTATGACGAACTCGATGGTAGCAGCGCGACAATTTGCTATTGAAATAACGAAAATATTATTTTGGCATGCTTTCTAGTGACGCATAAGAAAAGAACTCTCCGACAACATAAAGCACATATATATTCTTGATCAATATCAATAGCCGACTAGATATAGCCCGGTCCGTCTGTTGCAGGTAATACATAAGTCGGGATTGGCTGGATCGAACCACTATATCATATAGCTCGTCACAGGAATGATCGGTCGAAAATCAAGTTATTTTATACAAAAAACCAATTCATTTCTAAGGCACATGTCTGCAAGGGTATTTGATATTCGGCATGCCAATAAGTATGCTCCAATAATATATTTGCGAAACAATTTCACATTTATAAAGCATGCTTTTCGCAGCAGGGCGGAATATATTTTAATTTCTGATTTTAGCTAGACTGAGGCTAAAATTCTTTTTGATGATTATAAGAAACACTTAATCGTCATTAAAAATGTGCATGCCCAGCCTTTGAGCTAATATTATTTCAAAGCACATTTTCTAGGGTATTCCTATAGTGGTAGTACCGCAAACAGCCGCTGGCGGGCGCCACCAGCGACCACAGCAAGTTTCATTGCATACTTTCAGGCAGTTCTACAAAAGACGCAACGAATTTTTGTACTCATAATTTTTAAAGTATAAATTATACAAATATACCTATAATTCAGTAGAAGTCTATGATATTGGAGCATTATCTGCCCATATATATATATATATATATATATCTACTTTTTTTACTTGATTCATATGAATAGGAATACCTACATTCACAGGCTGCAGCATTCATTCAGTAAAAAACTCGTTTGACTGGTGGCCCATTCATTTGCATGCACCACGCCCGCTCGTAGAGGCTGGGCCAGGCGCAGGAGCTGGCATCCAAGGAGTTGCTTGGGCTCAGACACGTGGTGGGAAGGGGAGCAGAGGGGTTGGGAGTAAGGGGTTACAAAAATGATGGCTGTGCCAAAATTCACACATAATTACAAGTGAGAAACTGAGGCAGCATCGGCCAGGGAATTCGAGCTGGGCTGCACTTCCCCCCCGCTTAGAGACTTGATTTATGTGCAGCCTGGCGGGGCCTGGGCGGGCGTGCTGCTCTTGTGGGCGTGGCATGCGGCCCGCTTGTGACTTTCGCGCCAGGCGAAAAACGAAAAAAAAAAAAAAAACAAATCAAAAATACTCCAAAAGCCGCAACAAGAAACAAACAAACAAGGCGAAAGCAACAGCAGCCGTTGACGGCCGGCATTTATTTACTTTTTGATTACGAATACGCGCATTACCCCCAGCCCCGGCCCCGGCCCCGGCCCCTGGTTGTAGCTGCTGTGCGAAACACTTAACGCCAAAAGTGAGCAAAACAACACTTGCTCTATTAACGCGTCTGCGCTGCCGGTGCCGAGGCCGGGGTCGGGGTCGGAGTCGGGGCTGTGGCTGCCGTTTTGACCAGTTCGTGAAGTGAATCTGGCAGCGCGATTCGCGCGACTGTCTGAAAATTTATTGAAAAGCATTAAGAAGCCGCCGCATCTCTCGCCGGTTCGACGCACGTTAACGAGAAACGTACGCGGAATTGGACAGCAGCAGCCCCAGTCCACAGCGGCCACAGCGGCCACAGCGACAGCGACAGAGTCCCCGTCCAGGCTAAGCCCAACGCATACGTGTGGCTAATTTGCGGTTGCCCGAATGATGATTTACATAGGCAGCCAGGCTCAGGATCAGGAGAAACAGAGTGAGATTCAGCAGACCCCAAAACAAAAAGAAAACAAACCGCACATGCAAATTATAGAAATTTCATCGTGGCGCTGGCAGCTTAAGCAAATATTGAGATAGTCGTCCGATAACTGGCCAGGACTATCATTAGTTCAGCTGCATCGCATATTCAAATGCAATAAATCGCGAGAGGTTTTTTAGTTTCCACAAAAAAAACAAAATGTATATGTATATAAAAAAGAATTATTTCTGGTCTGCCAAAAATTAAATACACTCAAAAGCATGGGAAGCGTCCTTGAAAGCAATCGTATAGCTAAATCCGACAGCAATCGTGGCTATATAGTAGCTATATGATATAGTACAGGCTATATACGATATAGCAGGCAGTTAGATTATAATATGAGATCCGTCCGTAACAAATATCACACCTATAAGAGCTACTCTATGATATAGTTAACCGATTCTGATCAGATTTAACGGAGCTTGTTTGCCAATGCCTTGCAGAATCCATCATTATTACTATATACTCTTTGATATATATGATATACTCTTTCGATCCGGCCAACTCAGACCGATGACAATAAATAGACATAAATTCAACTCAGCTCTACAAACGGATTAGGGATATATAAAAGAAAGTCAACTTTAATGCGTTACGTATGCCGTGACCAAATTGAAATGCTCGCTGCTAGAGTATTATAAACTGCAAAAAGGTTTTCAGTTACGGAATTCTGCAGGAAGGCGAAAAGTAAAGAGAGAGAAAAAAAAAACCAATTGCTAATTTTATGCTAGACGGCGTTAATATCAAGCTGCCATTTATGGCTTCCGTTTTGGGCCAAGTGGCAGGCGATGCATTTAACTGATGAGCCAGTCTGCCAGCCAGATAGCTATAGAATGTTGCCAGGACGGAGTTTAGGGGGGGGGGGGGGGGGGCTATGTAAATAGAGCTACTTAATTGAAGGCGCCAACAAGCAGCGGGCGGTGTTTGGCGTTTGGGCGTGGCACTTGAGTATATCGCAAGCGCAATTGCTGACCCGCTGTGCAGCTGTCGCCTCTTAACAAGCCGCCGTGCCAGATGAGAGGAAACCAAACCAAGTTCGCTGCTTAAGTCATTCGTTTGTAAAGTTCGCTGCTTAAGTCATTCGTTTCGTCTGCGTCTTTTTCCTCCTCCTGAGCTCAGGGGAGCGAGCGCGCGCGCGCGCGCGCTGTTTTCAATTAAAAGCGACGCTAATTTTATCGAACAATGCAACAAATTTTATGCGCATTTAACAAACTCGTAATTGATTGTACAAAAGTGAAGGCGTGAAATGCCGCCAGCAGACAGCAGGCGGCAGGCGGCAGGTTGCCGCACGAAATTGAGTACTCGTTCGAGTACTTGCGAATAACTCGCATTATGGCGTCTTAGCCAGACGCTGCGCACGAAAAGAAAGTGCAGCTTAATCGCTCAATTCACGCGGCCTGCGACAAACAGAAACCGACAAAAATGTTTTAAATATCTCTTTTTTGGGGGGATTTTTGTCGAGGCAGGATTGGAGCAGGGGCAGGGCTTGGAGCTGGGGTTAGCCCCTTAGCACCCAAGTTGTCTGCGCAATTTAAATGGCCCAGCGCGATGCTGCGAAATTATCTTGATTGACATTTTATGTCTTTTTAATGAAAGCAACTTCAAAGGACAACACAAAATTGTTCGCATCGCAAACGCATTGGCCCCGCGCACAGCCCACATTTGCCCCTCAGCGTGGTTGGTGGCAGGCGCATAAAAAATTGTAAATGTTGATAGCCGGACGGACGGACGGACAGACAGACAGACGGACGGACGGACAGTCAGTCAGAGAGAACAAGTGTAGCGTGTAGCCACACAAAGACCAAACGAGATACAATTGTATCTTGTGCTATCTGCGGCCAGGTAGAGCTGACAACGCAGCTGTGCAACTAATGTACTTGTCTTGCCCCAGAGAGAAGCGAGATACACTCGGGCAACTCGAATATACGAATACTCTCGCATGCACACACGAAACGACTGCAAAGGTCATTGGCAACGGCTCACATATACCACGTAAATGGTCCCAGGATTCTAGAAAGATTTTATTTGGCTTTAATAGAAATTATTGTTGATGCCACATTTGTATATCTCAATCTGACTTCATTTCAGTTAAGCGCCCTGTTTAAGCATCATGTATCCCTTTGTGAACCAACTTTAAGACCTGTTGCTAAAAAGCATCCCGAGTTGCAATTGTAACACTATTCTAGGAACTTCTTGCTCTTACTTAATCTACATACATAGAAGTTTCCATTTAATGGAGCCGAACCAATTGTTATCTCATTCACATGGCTTTATATTTGATCATTTGACTCAAATAACTCACATTTACCCATATGAGAAATTAATTTAAATGGTTATCTATATTCTTTGCTATTCGAAGAGCGCGCATACTACATTTGAGGCAAATCAACTGAATAGTTCCTGAGTTTTGAACCATTTTCAATTGATCCATCCTTCTCGTAAGTTCTTTAAATGTTAAGCATCTTATAATATACTTCACTCGAAGAGCCTCTAATTGTAAGCCTGCATACGAATTTTCAGCAATGGCGTTTCGATAGTTTTTAACTTATAGCTCTGAACCACTTGTGAACCGGTTCATAGTATTAAAATATTGACAATGTTCAAATGCAGCATAGCTAAAGCATAAATCAAACGGGGCCCAGCTGACAGACGTTAATAATTCTTTAACACTAGCAAAGAACCACTTTTCAATTACATGCGAACCGGTTCAAAGATGTGAAAATAGATTAAACATACGAAAACAAGGTTCTGTTAAGCCCGAATGCACTTTTTAATCTACTCGCAGAACCGCAAGCTGACTTCCAGCTAGCCCTGGGAGCAACTCGCCAGCGAATATGCCTTTTCTAACGCTCACTGCACAGGGTATGCAATACGCAGCCAATCTAATCGCCTCGCCTC